GCAGTCTGCTCTGATTGGCCAGCTGACCCAGTGCATTGTGATTGGCCGAACACCGCAAGCACTCGTCGGAAATGTAACGCCCCTTACCATAATCGCGAGCTTCATCTTTCAAAATTAGTGATGGAAATTTTGATTATTTCAAGAAATTCGTTCATTTTCAGTTCGTTCACCAAAATGATTCGCTCAGATTCGTTCACTGATTCGTTCAGTGACCATTTCTTCATATTACATAAATACGCCAGCAGGTGGCGAAAACCTGCAAAAAAAAGCAGTTAGTATTATTTTATTTTACATTTCGTTCACGAACGAGATATGTACCAGTTCAGTCATTTCATTCACGAACGAGATGTACCAGTTCATTCAGCTCACGAACGACATGTACCAGTCCATTCAACTCACGAACGACATGTACCAGTTCATTCAACTCCTTCACGAACGAGATGTATCAGTTCGGTCATTTCGTTCACCTTAAAGAAGTCTCTTCTGCTCACCGAGCCTGCATTTATTTGATCCAAAATACAGCAAAAGCAGTAATATAGTGAAATATGTTTCTATTTGAATATATTTTAAAATGTAATTTATCCCTGAATGAAAATAAAATAAAAATACTGACTCCAAGCTTTTGAATGGTATATGTATAATTTTACAAAAGCTTTTTATTTCATTTGAATGCTGATCTTTGGATCTTTCTATTGGATCTTTCTTACTGTTCAAAAAATGTTGACTGGTAGTGTATGTATGTAGCCTATGTATCACACTCATATCACATCTTGTTTTGGATAAGAATAAAACGTCAGGTCCGACAATATCGTGTCTTTTTTTATTTAAATCTAGCTTTATTCGCATTGGGCCATGGAAACCTATAAACACACTTGACTTGACTTGGCTAAAAAATCGCGGGGGACGAATTTACGTTTTATTAAAAAGTGTTTACGCATACACTCATGGCGTGCAGCCGCGCACACACATTAGGATAGGTTAGATTCCTGCCTCCGTTGCGAGTCCCTATCAAGCACTTTACCAATTCATCTACTCTCTTCTTCTCCTCCTGCCTTGCTCTTTGGCCCGCATCACTCACCGCAGAGCAAGCCTGTTCTTGATAAATCTCCTGTGAAAACGTGGGAAAAGCCGACGAGGAAGAAGTTGGGGTGATGCGATCTTTATATAGGCGGAGCAAAATACTTCATCGCTCCGTCTATAGCGCATTGTGATTGGATGTTTACGCTGTCAATACAGGAGACAAACCAATGGGCCACTGGCTGCTCGCTGTCCATGCGTGATGGTTTTCGGCAAAAAAACATTCTGTCGGCCCCATAAAATGCCCGGTATGCCCGATTACCAATCCAGCCCTGAGTACATCCCAATTTGCTGCATAAATGTAGAATTCAGATGATGACAGTTGTGCACATATATTGGCTATTTTAGCTATTATTCATTTGTTATGAGTAACTATATCTTTTGTTTTTTTATCAATTAAGTTCATTAAGCTTAAAAATTCATAATAATGAAAAATGGTGAAGTACCTTTTATTTTTAAAGTATTTAATTTACTGTATTATTGAAATTTATTAAAATTAATGTTTATTAAAATATTTTTTTAAAGTTTAAAACTGAAAAAAAAAAGTTTAAAACTGTTTTCTATTTTAATATATTTTATTAATTTATTCATGTAATGGAAAAGCTGAATTTTCAGCTTCCATTCTTTGATGAATAGAAAGAACAGCATTTATTTCAAGTAGAACTCTTTTGTAATATTACAAACATCCTTATTGTCATTTTTGATCAATTTAATGTGTCCTTGCTGAACAAAAGTTGTCATTTCTTCAAACAAATAAAAAAATAATAGAGAGGATCAACATCCATGTTGATCCTGGGGACAAAATTCCAATCAACCAATCAGAATTGAGGGATAAGTTTACAGAAAATATCAGTTTTAGGCTTACATCCAGGGTTAGGTGCTTCTACACCTTTTATTCAGCTATCATTTCTGTCTTATTTTAGGGATAAATTCTAGTTAGGGTAGGGATATGGTCTGTGTTTTTGGATGGTAATGTTGTGCCAGGATGAAAAAAATATGTTGGTCCAGGAACATGTCTTACTATCTCATTTGCTTTACTGATAGCAGAGCACAAGCTGCATTAACTTACAAAAGTTTGTGAAACCTGACGATCATATTATCCAGCATGATTTGATATGATCCAAAGAGCATCTTAAGCTTCAGTGGAAGAACATCTGAGCATCTGTACAAACAGTAACTTGATCAATTTCCTTAAAAATGACAGAAATAGTGCAGAATCTGAAATATTTTTCTTCATTCTTCAGGATGTTTTTTCCTTCTTTTTCAGGTTAACCTTCTGTTTTATTACTGATGTACCTTCATTGATTTAGGAAAAAAAATTAACTTAAATGATTTTAGCAAATGGCTGCAATATAACAAAGAGTGAAAAATTGAAGGGGGTCTGAATACTTTCCGTACCCACTGTATATATAGTTATTTTTTATTTTTTTCAAAACATGTTGAAGGATTGCAAATTTGTCATTAAAATATGTTACAAAATATGTTACTCGCCCTTCTCTTTGCTCTTTCTCTCTCTCTCTCTCAGTGCACAACTGGACACTGGAGGATGCAGTTCAGTGGCTGAAAGTGTCGGTGGAGCTTCCTCAGTACGAAAAAAACTTCAGAGATTTTAAAGTAGATGGCAACACGCTACCTCGGTAAACAAATGCACACTTTTGTCTATTCATCATGGACTTTCCACTGACTCGCATTGTTTTTATGCGTAGTTATAATACTTCTACTCCTAAACCAATCACAGCCTTACACAAAAATTTTTTTTCATGTATGCATTATTTTTTAAGCCACACTTATGTTAAAGTGTGATAGAAACTAGAGTTGAAACTAGTAGAAGCCTAAGTAATACAAGTATCTTAACTATCTGTTTAAAAGTAAAAAGGTGTGTCTTTAACACTGATATTAAATGCTTATACACCAATAAAAAAAAAACACAAAATGTGAGTTTTTAGCAGCAGTGCTTCCCTCTAGTGGTGATGATGTGTCATGACACAGACAGTAAAGATGTGCATGAGCATTGGGGGTAAAGAAAGGTTTAGGGTGTTTAGTTTCCTCTCACGGCCACTTCTCCATGACTCATGAAATGATGTCACAGCAGCAGATCACCTTTCACCTGCAGCTATACTTAGTATGTGTGTGGCAGCACATGTGATCTTTCAGTCATCTAGTACTTGCTTCTTAAAATTAGTCCTTTGAGCTTGAACTTGCAATTCATGCACACACACACATAGTCACAGACTGTGCCCTTCATACATACCAGTTAATTTCACGGTCACGGGATAGTTTTGCAGTTAAAGGGATTTGTTTTTCACCCCTAAGATTTTCATAGACATTTCAGAGAGATTTATTGGAAGCCCTAGCATTTCAAAGTAAAGTTTGAAATCACAAACTGAGCTTTTTTTGTTGGTAGAAACTGGCTGATTTTGTGTGATCTTGACATATTCTTACTCCTTGACCTGCTGTGTTTTTCCTTTCTGTTACAGAATAGCGGCCAATGAACCGTCGTTTATGTCAATGCAGCTAAAGATATTAGACCAACGACATAAACAGAAATTAAATCTAAAAGCATTGGACGCAGTGCTCTTTGGACCTCCACTACGTGAGTTAATGCACATAAGCTGGAATAAGACTTGTTAAATAGTTTATGTAATGGGATAGTTCAGCCCAAAATGTATGTTGTTCCAAACTTTGCTTTCTTGGAATACAAATAATGTACTATAATGTCACAAACAATCTCGCTCTTTTCAGTGCAGTTAAAATGAATGAGAACGGAAGGTTTTTACGGTTTAAAAAGAATGCAGTAGCAACACAAAAGTGTCATAAGTAGTCAGTATGACTGCACTACCATTCAAAAGTTTGGTGTCAGTAAGATTTTAAGATTAATACTCAGCAAGGACACATCAAATTGATCAAAAGTGACAGACTTCTACATTCTGTTCTTTTGCTGTTATTTTGAACTTTATATTGATCAAAAAATCCTAGAAATAAATTACAAAAATATTAAGCAGCATAACTGTTTTCAAGATTGATAATAAGAAGAAATGATTCTTGAGCACCAAATCAGCAGATTAAAATGATTTCTGAAGGATCATGTGACACTGAAGACTGGAGTAATGCCAGCTGAAAATTCTGCTTTGCCATCACAGGGATAAATTATATTTTAAAATATATTAAAAAAGAAAACTGTTATTTGAAATTTACACTATTCAGTATTACACAATATTTTACTGTACTTTTGGTAAAATAAATGCAGTCTTTGTGAGCATAAGACGCTTCTTTCAAAAACATTTTTAAAATGTTATATTTTTGCACAAAGCTATTGTATAGAAGTATTTCTTTTATTGAAATATTTGCTTGCTTAGTGGGTAAACATGCTCTCTCTTTTCTCTCTTTTTCCTCTAGGTCCTCACCATCACTGGCTGAAGGACTTTGTTTTGATGATTTCAATCATCATTGGTGTGGGAGGCTGCTGGTTTGCATACATACAGAACAAATCATCTAGAATTCACATCTCCCGGATGATGAAAGATCTGGAGAGTCTACAGAATGCTGAACAGAGCCTGATAGAGCTACAGAGCCGGTGAGAGAGAAAGCAAATAACAGACAGTGAGAGAGAGAATAAGAGCACGAAATATTCTATCATCTGTTTAACATCATATTGCATTTCTTGTTATGAGAGGGCTCATTAAGCTTTTCTATAAGTACCCTCAAGGGAAGAGTTCATCCTAAAAAGAAAATTCTGTCATAATTTGCTCACCCTCATGTCGTTCCAGATCTGCATGACTTTCTTTGTGGAACACAGAAGGAGAGACTAGCTCCAATATGACAAAAAGCACCATAAAAGGTGTTCATGCAACTCTCACACAAATTTCTGAAGCTGTAACATAGCTGTATGTGAAGAACAGAATGGGTTTTGCTGTCTTCACCCACATCCATATGTCAGTACAATGAGACCCCTTGCCATTGACCATTACATGTCAAGTATGGCATTACATTCATAATGTGATGACACGACACCTTTTTTTTGTGTTTTTCTTGAGCTCGACAGCCTATAACCCTTTCACTTGCATTATATAGAAAAGAGTGGTCATGATTCTGTTTGTTCTATTTTCCTCTGAAGTCATTTAGGTTTGGAACAACATGAGGGTGAACAAATTATGACAGAATATTATTATTACTATTTTAAATTGCAACACACCAGATTTCAGATGTGACTCAAATTTCTCTGTGGTTTCATCAGGCTGGAAAAAGCTCAGGAGGAGAACCGGACGGTGGCGGTGGAGAAGCAGAACCTGGAGCAGAAGATGCGTGACGAGATCAACGGAGCAAAGAGAGAAGCCAGCAGACTGCGAGAGCTGCGAGAGGGGGCTGAATGTGAACTCAGCAGACTCAAGTACGCAGAGGAGGAACTAGTGCAGGTAGGAACCAATATAAATCAAAAATGCCCTTCATAGATTTAGCCTTTAATGTGATGACCCTTACACAAAGGCCCTGTCTCAAATTGCAACGTAAACGCATAGCGGCTGCAAAGGGGGCACTCACGAGCACCCTTCTGAAAGCTAAAATGATGAATGGGACTTAACAGACACACACATGCGGCGGGCATTGTAAGTCCACAAGACTGCAAGTGCATGTGAAGTCTGCCATTTGGGACAGGGCCAAAAAAGAAGTTCTGTTGTGTGAAGTGTGCTATTAGTATCCTTCTTTTAAAACTAAAACTAAAAATAAGAGAGTATACTTTCAGTCTACTTGGCTTATACAGAAAAGTATGTTTCGCCTACACTTGTTCTTAATCTTTTAATCGAGATATACTTAAGAAAAGAATAAAGTATTAAGTATTCCAAATATGTTATGCTTCAAGTTCAAGTGTAAGCCTGCGCTGCAGTTATGTGCAGTTATCTAAATGCCCAAGCTCTTTAAAGCTGGATGGATCCTGATTGGCTGTCACTGTTTTTATTGTACTTCAGCTGGGAAAAAAATCTTTGTGAAAGTGATTCCAGCACTATCATTCCTCTGTGAAGTTATGGTTATAGTTGAGGTTATACTTTGGTGTGAATGGGCCTTAAATATGCATTGAAAAAAACTTATCCATAAGTATCCATAAGCCAGTAACACTGACAAACAAAATTCTACATCAAAATATTTTTATATAACAGTTTATTAAAAATCCATTAACAGATAAAACGAAAAAGTAAGGATAAACAAGAATACTACTAGTACATTGATATTAGTGTATCCTACATAAAGTATTCTTGGAAAATATACTTGAACTTTTAAAAGAAAAAAGTACACTTCAAGTATATTTTATGCTGCTTTTTGTAAGGCAAGCCAGACTTTTGACCACACAGTAAGCAGCCTAACATTTTCCTTACATGATGCATATATGAAGGGGGTAAATCTGAAATGAATGCTACCACAATAACTGACCAATAATAGACCGATTTATGTAGCAAAGTATGAGCTATCAACATGATACAGTAATGTTAAATATATTTTCTCAAGCTATTAAAATGACCTTGGGGTCTCTAAGACTCGAAACAGAACAGAAGGATTAATATAGTAAAATGTAATTAATTACTTTTTGTCCAAAACGTATTATTTCCTGAAGTTCATCATTGGATTTCTATTGCCTTTCATCACAACAGCCTTATTCGGTAAATACACCCCTAGATGGATGCAGCGTTCCTCAAGTTGTGATGTTGTAATAAATTACAAGTTCCACAGTGTTTGTGTTTGTTGGGTATTTCCAGGTGCGAATGGCACTGAAGAGAGCAGAGAAAGAGATGCAGTCAGATTGGTCGGTGCCAGAAGCCCTGCAGATGTGGCTTCAGCTCACACATGAGGTGGAACTGCAGTACTACAACATTAAAAAACAGAATGCCGAGCTGCAGCTCACGGTCGCAAAGGACGAGGTGATTTATTGTTCACACTTCTTGTCAGGGCAGGAAATGCTTGTTTGACCAACAGATTTTAAAGTTTCAGGCCAAATAGTTATTGGATCTTTGAGTCTATGAAATATTTACTTAACATCAGCTATTATACATTAAAAGTGAAGTTTCATTTTCAGTTTAAATCTACCTAAACAAACATCTCATTCACATCCTCTCTCAGTGACTAACAAAAATGAAGCTGAAACTTTCCCCTGTTAATTTAGATTTCTAATGATGTGGTTAAATTACTTTTTAACTACATGGTTTGTTTTGCCGTTTGTTATTTGCATCTAGAACGAGTCATCAGCAGTTAAGCTAAAACAATTAGCAGTCACTGCAGCAGGAGAGATGAGCTTGCGTTCAGTACAACCAGCAAATGTGCAGATCACACACGAGTCAACTGGTGCATTTCCATGCAATGTCATTGTATTTTCATTACTTGTGTGTTTCTATGGTCATGTTGTGTGAATTTCAGGCAGAAAAGATCAAGAAGAAGAGGAACTCTGTGTTTGGTACCCTACATGTTGCACACAGCTCATCACTGGATGAAGTAGACCACAAAATACTTGAGGCTAAGTAAGCACACATAATGCACATGCACTCGCTAATGGTTACCCGCATTAAATGAAAGCTTATTAGTGTTTTTTTTTTTCTTTTTCTTTTTAGAAAAGCTCTATCAGAGGTCACAGCCTGTTTGCGTGAACGTCTTCACCGCTGGCAGCAAATAGAGAAGTTATGTGGCTTTCCAGTGGTTCATAACTCTGGGCTGCCCAGCCTCACCGCCTCCCTGTACGCCGACCACAGCTGGGTGGTCATGCCGCGGATGTCGGTGCCACCCTACCCAATCGCTGGCGGGGTGGACGATCTCGATGAGGACACACCACCAATCATTCCACAGTTCACCTGTAAGTTCCCCTCTTTAAGCCCAAGATTGTGTGAAATGTTCTAAAAATGCGACTTTAAATTACATAATTTTTAACTAATGTATATCTTATTAATGTGCAAAAACTTTTCTTTCTAAACCATTCAGATACATTTAAAAACAATGTAAGACATCGGTTCCATACCAGTTTCTGTTATGGAATAAAGATCTTTATTTCATCTCAAAATTTTTTTTTTTTTTTTTAAATGAATGAATGAATGAATTTTAGAACCTGTTAATCATGAGAACTGGTCCCTAAACTAAAGTCTTACTTACTTTGTTATGATAAGTATACCATGCTAAGGTGCATAAAGATGTCTTTTCTACACAGCTCCTTTGATTCGACCTCCTGTGACCCACAACAGCAGTGTTTGTCGTTCCCGCAGAAGTCTTCTGTCTCAGCCCTCGTCCCTTTCTCCTGACCCTGACCTGTTGTCTATGGCCTCGGCCCCACTGGCCTACAGACCCGAGGGAGACGATGATCACATCTTCTTCACTGTCGAAAGGAAAGGGTACGTCAGCTTTTCTTTGTATATATTAATTAATTAATTTAAAATTCTGTACATGTTAATTTACCTATTTACCTTTATAAAATCACATTTATATATGAATAATTTCAATGAATGCACGGTTTCGGTCAAAAGTTTGGAATAATTAATATATATTTTTAATGTTTTTGAAACTCACTTATACTCACCAAGGTTTATCTATTCGTCAAAATACAGTAATATTGTTAAATGCTATTGCAATTTAAAATAACTGTTTTCTACTTTAATATTATTTTAAAATGTCATTTATTTCTGTGATGGCAAGCCATTACTCCAGTCTTCAGTGTCACATGATCCTTCAGGAATCACTTTAATATGTTGATCTGGTGCTAAATTATTGTCGTATTGATTATTGGTGCTCAATTATTAATAATGGTTCTTACTATTATCAACGTTAAACAGTTTACGCTACTTAATATTTTTTTTTGTGGAAACTGTGATACATTTTTTTTTCAGGATTCTTAGATGAATAGAAAGTTCAGTGAACAGCATTTCTATGAAATAGAAATAACATTAATGTTCTTACTTTCACTTTTGATCAATTGGATGCTGATTCGGTCTTGCTGAATAAAACCATTAATTTCTATATGAAAAAAGTACTTAAACCAAACTTTTCAATGGTAGTGCATCACAGTTTCTATTCAGAGAAATAAGTATTCTCAGTGACAGCGACGTGTAGTGCAACATCTTACACAAACTCAGCTGTTAACGGACAAATGAATGCATGTATGAAAGTTCATTCTTTTTCCATCATGTTTGGACTTAATGTGTTCGTAACATTGCCAAAGGTATTCTAATTGTGGTTTGGTAAGTGAATAATGCATTGGTAAAGCTGAAGTGACACTTTTCTAAATGTGTGTTTGGACTATACAAATAAGTTCCACAGGAGGAAAGAAGGGTGGGCCACACCGTGTCCCCTGACTGATGGAAACAGCCAGTCACAGCCTGGAAATGGAGAAGCACCAGTTTGCAATCTCCTCCTCATCAGAAAGAGATAAAGGTACCTTCCCAAAAGACACTCACTGTTCTGAGTCTGAGCCCTGCATGGGTGAGACGATAGCAGATCCTGTCAGGGAAAAGACGCTAACAGAGCAAGTTCTGAGTCTGAGTACTGCAATGGAAAATACGTTAACAGATACACTGTTCTGAGTCTGAGTCCTGTTACCAGGATCCTGTCAGGGAAAAGACGCTAACAGAGCAAGTTCTGAGTCTGAGTACTGCAATGGAAAATACGTTAACAGATACACTGTTCTGAGTCTGAGTCCTGTCAGGGAAAAGACACTAACAGAGCAAGATCTGAGTCTCCGGCCTGCAAGGGTGAGACACTAACAGATAAACCTCGGTACTGAGTCTGAGTCCCGAAAGGAAGAGGCAATAACAGAAACAACTGTTCTGAGTCTGAGCCCTGCAAGGGTGAGGCAATAGCAGATCAACCTTCGTTCTGAGTCTGAGTCCTGTCAAGGAAAGGAAAGGACTGCAACAGATCACCAACGTTCTGAACCTCTGGCCCGTGAGGGAAGAGGCAATAACAGATACGAAGTCCTGAGTCTTCAGCTTCGAGGCAGCAACAGATACGACCACGTTTTGAGCCTCCAGCCTGCGAGGAAAGAGATAATCTACATTCAGACTTCATTCAGAGTCTTCCTCCAGCGAGACAACAGATGCAGCACGTCCTGAGTCTCCATCCTAGAGAGACAAAGCGGATTGACCAAGTTCTGAGTCTCTAGCCCAGAGAGGCACCAGAAGACACACAGACATCTGCAACAAGGTTCAACTCCGGCGAGCAGACCTTCACTCCAAGGTACCTTTGCTTGCGTGTTCCAGGCTAAGGACCTTCTGCACCTACTCCAGGGCCACATCTGCATGTTCCAGATTTTAGGACCCTTTGGTGCTCCAGAAGATCAGCATCCTCCAGCGCTTCGTGTCCAAGGCTGTCGAAACGGATTCCTGCTCCTTTCCCCGCTGCATTGCTACCAGCACAACCAGTGGATGAAGTCACTGCCACTGGACTGCTCACTCAACTACAGAGAACGTAACTATCACTTATCCAAACCTCTTTCAGAGACTTTGGCATTGTTGTATATTATCAGTATATGATTTTCTCATTTACATTAGATATTATATAGCTGATTGCAGTTGATAACAAATAATCTTTCCCGTATTTGTTTGATGCATAATAAGGTTCTTCACCTTATTTCTTTCAGAGTAGCAACAGTTTATCTTTCCAGATAACGTAGCTCTAACATAGCAACACCCAACATAATCACTTGCATTTTATGCATCTTATGCACATTATTCCTATTCCATTTATGGTATTCATTTAGTAGTTGTTGATTACTCTTGTCTATCTTTTGTTAATAAAATCTATTTTATTACACTTGTGTCTTCCTTGTGTTGATGATACAGAAAGAGGTTCTACAAGTTAGAGATCCCACCAATCTTTCTTATGTGATGTACTCATAACCACACCTTAAGTGACACGTGATCCAAATATCATAATGTCATTGGTGACGCGAGTATTCATCACTACACTATTTCGCCTCCCTAGGTTGGCGAAAGCAAAATTCACTACACCACAAAATATTAGTCAGTGAAAACTGTCTTCAACATTTATTATAATAAGAATAGTTTCTTGAGCACCAAATCAGCATATTGAAATGATTTAGACTGAGTAATGGCTGCTGAAAATTCAGCTTTGCCATCACAGGAATAAATTGCATTTTACAATATATTAAAATAGAAAACATGTTTTTAAATTGTAATAATATTTTGAAATATTAATGTTTTTACTGTATTTTGATCCAATAAATGCAGCTTTCTGTCACACAGGGATCTTCAGGACACATGCTCAGATTCAGATTCTCTCAGTTCCTCTTTGGGCAGGAAGCAGTTCTCCGGTCCCTCTGTTCAAAGTACATGTGCTACAGGCATGGAGACCCCACCACGTAAAATCTCTCGTGAGGAACTTCTTCTCCTGGCGCAGGAGGCCCAGGCTATCGCCATGGAGACCTTACCTTCTTCCACATCCTCCCCTTCATCTCCTCTTGACTCCTCCTCCATTCACAAGGGCTCCCCTGACCTTACCCACTCTTCTGTCTTCCCAGAATCTCAAAGTTTAACCTTTCATCCTGGCACCAAAGCTGTGGCCTATAATGGCATTCTGGAAAAGTCATACAGCATGGGGCAGCTGCCCGCTAGTGGGACGCCTCCAGAGGGACATTACCCCTCCATTAGCTCCCTCGACATAGAAAGCAAATCTATCAAGGAGCCCAAGCAACTCCAACCCACCTCCTCCCAGGACTTTTGCGACAATGCAGAGAAAAAACGCTCCAAGATCAAGAGCTTGTTCAAGAAAAGCAAAAAGCTGTGAGGAACAGTAGAGAAGAAGAAGAAATGGAGAGAAAAGAAGCCTTAAAATAAAATAAATGAGGGTCAACCAGAAGCCAAAACATTTTTCAGTTTCTTTGTCATTTTTTATTTTTATTATTTTTTTTATATTTAAATGGAATGTAGCTTCATCTGGGTACAGTCATAGGTTGGAAGCCTTTTATGGTGATTTTTTTAGCCTCACACGTATGCCTTTGAAGGCCAAAAAATGTCATGTTAGCATTTTGCAGAACATGGCCTCTTCACTGTCTTCTGTTAAGTGTCCATTTTCTATAATGTGCACCCTAATGATGTCACCAGGATTGGTGCAGGAAAACAGACTAAAACAGAAACGGAATAAAAAGAACAGTCCAATATTAGCCAAATCTCCAAATTGTGTAAAAAAAAAAAAAAAAATAGACTTTCCTGGAAATATGTCTTAAAGGGAGGGTTCAACCACCAGTGAAAATTCTGTCATTTACTTTCCCTCATGCCACTCCTATTCTGTATGCAGTAGTTTTTTATTTATTCATTTTTTTTAATGGGGCACAAAATAATTTTTTGAGGAACTGTTACACAGTTCTTGCAATACAACCAAGGTTCATAGTGACCAAGGGCTGTTCATCTCAGAAAAACACCCAAAAGCAGCGTAATAGTAGTTATACAACTCATGTGCTATATTTCAAGTATTCTGTACATCTGCATTTAGTTTTTTCTGTTGGCCTACGTACAAATGCATCAAATGGATGTGTGTTTGACTGTTGCACCGTGTCTCACTGTTTAATTTACAGGAGTGACAACTGCATTTTACAACTGAATGACCCCCGAAACGTGCAGGTAGTGACAACCACATTTACAGAAACTCCAAACACATTATCTTGAAAATAAGCCACATATCAAAATATAGCGACTGGCAACTGCCTCTTTTATTAACTCTGGATCGCTGGAACTGGATCGCTTTATGAGCTGATCCCAAAAATGCTTGATACCAAACGCGCAAGACGGCAAAACTTTGCTATGGTTACCATGGTGTCATGGTTTCGAGAGTGAGTTCTGTTCCATACACACACAAAACTGTAATTTAGGGGATGCACTCCCTATTTAAATGCGGTTGTCACTCCTGAAACTTTACAGTGTGGCCATTGGCATAATCAAACCATAAGGCATCATATTTTGTAATTATATAAAGACTCGCTGACCAAATGAATAAAAAAAAAACCCCTAAGAAAGCAAGTCCGCTTATCTTGTAGATTACTGTAATTATACTGTAACTAAGTTGTTTTCATCATGGCAGGCTTGACCGAAGTTGCATTTCAATTTAGCATGCAAATTTAAAAAGTTCAGTTCTTTAAAATATGTGTCTTAAATGCATTTTAAGATCCTGTATTATGTTCCTTTTGGCTTCTCCCAATACAGATGTTTAAATTATGTTTTAAAGAGTTGAGTGTACATGTCAAACATTGATTATTGTTTTCACAATTGATCATTTCCAAGTACTCGTGCCCATCCCTAAGTCATGATTTGTGTGAGAAACAGGTTGAAATGTAAGTCATTATTCACTGATTGTCTTGCCCTCCTTCAAACCTCAAGTCTACCTCGAGTCACAATTATTCCATGCATATGGTTTTTTAAATCAAAATATCAACATTTATCAAAAATCTTTTCCTGGTTATTGGGCGATAATAGCAATTTAATTCCATACTGAAATTGGTTTAATATATATGTAGGCCAATATGTTTGACGTTCAAATCTACATCAAATCAACGTCATCTCGAGTTTTTGACATCAGTTTAATTTGCATATTTGACCTGTGTTTTGATGTCTTGTCAACATCAATTGCCCAATGCACATTCAGATCTGCCTCCATTTTTAAGTGTTCCCACATCTCAAAATCCAGTCAGCAACCGATGGATAGAATACTTTCTTTACACTCAGATGTACACATCACAGTTTTGAAGAAAAAAAAAACTATCTTTCCATTTCATTTCAGCTGTAAAAATGGCACGCTGTGTTTGGTTACTACACAGTCGAGATCCAATGCCGTTTTGACAACAATGACGAATCTGCATCTGGACTCAAGCTTGACCATAGCTTGGTTGGAAGTAAAGATTATTAGTGAGGAAATTTACATTTCAGTCTGATTGCCACAAAAAAACTGTCATATGGCTTCAGAAGACTTGGAATCTAATGCACAAAGTCATTTGGATGGCTTTATGGTCCCTTTTATGGTTATGTTTTTTTTTTTTTTTTTTTGGTGCTTAACAGCCCATGGTCAACATGAATTGTGGATGTATGGCAAAACCTATATAATGATTCTTAAAAAAAAAAGGCTACTTTGGTGATCCACAGAAAAACTATTAACATTTAGGTTTGGAATGACCTGAGGGTGAGTAAACAATAAAACATTTTTTTTCTCTCCACATTTGAAATCATAAGAGTTTGAATGACCGCCGGTTGTTGTTTGATATATCTCAGCCTTTGACATCATCACAAGCTTAGTTTTTAATATTTAGTTTCCCTGTAGTATGAAAATCATAAGAAATCCTTTCCCTTCCTCTTAAGGGCCCAGGGTGAAAACTGGACTTTCAGTTTTGTCACTTCTGTTTACTGCCACAGAGCTCCTGTACTTGACAATATTTTTTTAAGAAAAAAAAGGGAAAGAAAAAGAGTAACACTTGACATAAAGCAGCATGTCAGAACTTCTACATAAGTGAAATAATGAACACAATGTAATGGTTCAGTAAATTAATAAAGGTTACTCTTTTCAGTCTTAAAATGTGCAAAATACTACATTACGCACTATATTTAAATTATCATTACACTTTTTATTTTTGATTTAAAACACCATTTTACAGTACTAGAATTATGCCAGCATATTGTTTTGGCACATTTGTTAAAAAAAGGTAAAGAAAAAAAAAAAAAAAGGAAGAAAGAAATTAAACCCAAGCTGTGTAAAATTCACAGCGGACCTTTTGAAGACATGTTCAGACATGACTAACTGCTGTGTGGAAAGCGCTACTGAATTATCCTGCTAAAGGTTGTTGCACTACTGCTTTCCTTACCTGGAAAGTGTCGCATTTGGCGGCATAAGAATAAGTAATGTTAGTTAGATCAAGGAGAATATGTGTAAAGATGCGTTAAAAAGCAGAAAATTGACATCAAAGCCAGAAAAAAATATAATGGATTTAGATTAGAACGCCTCTTGCCACATTTATTCTCTGAAATCATTTTATTTTATTTTTTTCATCATGAATATGTTTATTAGAAGTTATTAAATTGTAGTAATGTGATTTATTTTGGGTAGCTGAGGAAAGTTTTTTTTCTTTCTTTTTTTTTTTTTTCTGAGGAGAAATGTATATGATATGCAGATTTTGACCCAAAATTCCTCTTTCATGAACTGAGTGCCCTGTTTCAAGGGCGTTACCATCACTGTGATCATTATACCTCTCTCCACTCATACAAATCATCCACTATGGAGCACTAAACTGATTCTGTTTTGGCCAAAATTATTGCAACTTTTTTGAATTGCAAGACCTTTGTCCAGTGCCAGAGAGGACAGCGCAACTGTGGTTCCGAAATTTGTCTCAGAACTCACTCACTCAGCATTGTATATGCTGATACATATGAAGGATAAAACATGTTTCATGTATATACACATGAGTGTTTATGTGTGTATATATATATTTATACAGTGACTGACATGGACACATGAATGTTGAGATGATTGAGCTGAGCTGTTTTTTTTTGTGTGTGTGGGAATATTTGTATACAGTAGAACAAATTAATAAAAAATTGAGGCAGAAGTCTCATCTGTGCAATCACTTCAAAACTGTTTGTGACTCATTAGGGATGCATTTATCTGCATTAGCTGTGCCTCACGTGCTGAAAAGTGAAGCCAAAACATTTTGATTGCCATCTGGTGGCTGGCTGCAGTATAGGTCATAAACACCACCCTCTCCATGTAAATGAATGGGCGTGCCGAAAGGAGGTGTTCCAAAAGGTGAATCAGTACAACAGGAACTACCCCTAACCCTACCCCCACACCCAGACAAACAGATTTGTCGACCAATCATGAAGACCTTTCTCCATGCCCCTACCTTTCGGCATGCCCTAAACTTTTGTCACACTCATTGCTCCAGCCTGCAGTTATCCCTACTTGGAATGAATGGCACCTGGACCAAACTAAATTATCAAATAAATAAACTAGAAACCACATTTTTTAAGACAAGTAAAAGCTTTCAAAAAATCACAAGGGGTATTAGTGGTGTATTTTATTTTGTAGAATAACCACAGACCATATTCCAGGCATTTAACCAAAATCCATTTTAAAAGCCCATTGACTTATGGATGATGGAATCAGAAGTGCTAAAATTCTAACCGATTTAGCCAATAAACTTTATTTTGAGGATCTTACCTTTCAAGCACCTGATTGGGTTAGACCAGGGGTGCCCAAACTTGGTCCTGGAGGGCCGGTGTCCTGCAGAGTTTCGATCCAACCCCAATTAGACACACCTGAACCAGCTAATCAAGCTCTTACTAGGCATACTAGAAACCTCCAGGCAGGTGTGTTGAGGCAGGTTGGAGCTAAACTCTGCAGGACATCGGCCCCTCCAGGACCGAGTTTGGGCACCTCTGGGTTAGACTTTTTTATTGTATAATTTAATTGTGCTGTATTTCCAATGTACAGATATTTTAGATATATGAAAGTACAGTGAAAATCATTGTATTAACTAGATTGTACAGCAGGAAGTAGTTTGCATTATATAGAACATGGTTGATATTTATATGCTTCGAAACATATAGTGGGAGATCATGAGCTGTTGGTTTGTGATGGACATAAACTCTCAGTCCATCTCTGTTTGCAAGAGTTGCAACTCAATGGTATCATCACCCTGATTCCCTTCACAAAAAGCCAATAGGATTTTTCTATTGAAAATTCTATTGGATTATTGCAGAAATTAAGCTCTATGACCAACAAAACATGATTCGTTCATCTTTGAACATAGTTTTTATGAATTTTGGTGCCTAAACACAATTGCCAAACATGAAAAGCTATCATTAAGCTATAAATTAA